GCTGTCCTCAATTTCTGTCCTTTTTCCAGTTTTTAAAATTGCTGTCTTTATTTTATGAGCAAGAGAGACAGAAAGAAAGACACCCCCAACAAGGTCTTCACATCACAATTCACCCCAAGTTCAGTCAGTTCTGGGTCATGGGCCTGCACATACCTGGCACATTCAGGGAAATCTCCATATGTAAATCCATAACCTGCCCACACGGGCCAGTGTCACAGAGGCTGGGCACTTAGGTTACCACTTCCTCACCATCTCATCCTTTTATATCTTTGTTTTTTGTATTTTGGTCTATAAGCAAGAGAGACAGCACCCCCAACAAAGTTTCATGCCATACGCCACCCAACCTCAACCAGCCCTGATCATGAGCACAAGCAAGTCTGGCATGCTCAGAGAGGTCTTTGGCTGTGGGCCTAGAGCCTTTCCATGTGGTCCTCCTCACAGAGCGTCATGTGTTACCGCTGCACCACCATCTAGCCTCTATGTCCTCCTGGTCACCATTTTATCATTAAAAGTCAGAGCACAGCCCGTATTATGGACGAGTCCTTAAATTGCAATCACGTCCTGCCATGAAACACACACATTGATGGTTGCAATCATGGAGCGAGATCTCCTGCCAAAGAGGATTACTCCCTCTGAGGAAGTCAAGTCCCTTCCAAACTGTCCTTCTCTGCCCCCTGTTTTCTCCCATCCCAGGGATCTCATGTTTCATCCTAACTAGACTATAGGGACAGGGGGCAAGGAAGAATGAAACATTCACTTCCTCTTTCTGCTCTTCTCTCATCACCCACCCTCTCCTCCATTCTGGACCCAGCCCCTTGTGGAGGGGCAGTGCACAACGCCACCATCGGTCGTGTCCTCTCCCCAAGTTACCCTGGAAACACCAATGGGAGCCAGTTCTGTGTGTGGACCATCGAAGCTCCAGAGGGACAGAAGCTGCATCTGCATTTTGAAAGGCTGTCACTGCACGAGAAAGACAGGTAAACTTCTGAAGGTCTGTGCCCAGCCCAGTTCTCTCCAAGGGTGTTAGAATGTGGCTAGTGATGTGGAATCTTGAAGCTTAGCTCATGGAAGTCGAGAAGTTAGAGACCATCAGCTTCCATCTCTTCCTGCTACAGACAAGGAAACTGGGGCACGCAGAGGGAAAGAACACAGCAAGGCAGGGCAAGAGGCAAGAAGGGAATTCAAGTCCTCCGCAATGAACTGCTTCATTCATTCTGCTGCACATTGCTTTTGCCACTAAACGAAGAGGAAGTATTTCTTGAGTACCTTCCCTGTGCCCAGTCATGTACTAGGCTTCACAGAGAACAGGGAAGTAGAGAAGATTGGCTTTTGGTGTGATCAGAGGTTGAGATAGAAAAGCTAGACTTACACACATGAAATAGTTAGGGAGACGTGACAAGACAACATCTAAAAACCTGTGTGGGGTCCATGGCATGGTGGTTAAGCCACTGGATTTCCATAGGGCCGACCACAGTTCAAGTCCCAGATGTGGCAGCTTAAGAATCACACCAGGTGTGTGCGTGTGCAAGCCCAAAATCTCAAGAGTAGAATGGAGGAAAAGGAATTGTGGCATGGCCATACCCCAAAGGGGGTGATTTCTTACTCTCCCTCTCTCTCTGTCTCTCTCTAGCTCTCCTTGGCAAGCACATGTGCCCTATGATAAAAACCTTAAAAAAAAAAAGTCTGTAGATTCAGTAATAAGCATAGAATCTGAAAACTTTTAATATTCTAAGACCTTATTCAACGTACTTTAGGATATTCTAGAAAACTAGCACCTTTGCTGCTTGGATTGTCTGTCTTAAGTTGAGTTCCCTTGGAAACGGACACAATGACAAGGATGTGACGGAAAGTAAATTATTTGGCGTGGGAAAGTGAGATAGAGAATGCAGAATGCATTGACAAGCAGGTGATCGCTGAGACAATCGGCCTTC